TCTATTTCTAAATGTCGAATTATTAGAACCGACCTCATATGTGCTTGATTATGCTTTTAGTTCATCAATCAGCGTCTTTGATGCTGACTCATCCCTTTTCTCACCTCATAAAGAAAGTTTGAGGTCTGCTGATGGTCGGCTACCTTCGCTAAGACACCTTTACTGTCGTCCTTTTTGACTTTTATTGATCCAGATTCGTTCTACATTAATTTTAATCAATAAATCTTCAGTCGATTTATTGTATTCTAAATGTTTTAGGATAAATCAAAGTTCTTTCCTTAATCGTACCTATATCTGGTTCCTCCTCTCTGTCCTCAGGTCCGGGTGATGGTGCGAATCTGCTCGTCCGACAGCTGCGAGTCCTCCGAGTCCATGTCCTTCCTGAAGGTGGACGGCAGGAAAAAGCAGCTCACTTTGATCGAAACCTCCAACGGCGGGAACTCAGCGTCCTGTCAGAGACGATCCTCTGCCTCGGCACCAAAGACCTTCACCTTTGACGCCGTCTTTACCCAGGATGCCTCACAGGTGGGAGAAACCTCTAAAACTTCCCTTCATTTCCAAACAACAGAATCTACGGAAGAGGATTAGGGCCACTGAAAAGTTTTAAATATTATAACTTTTTCTCAGAATTCAGATTTTTTTCTTAGAATTCTGACTGAATTCTGACTGCTAACAGACATGTTAGCATCTAGCTGTAGCCATGTCTGTTTTAGAGACTAAACCAGCCATGGGAGTAGGTTTGCATAGGGACCATAGGGACATGTCCCTACCAAAATTTTGGACCGACCTATTTGTCCCTACCAATAATTCGATTTGAATAAAATGTTTATAATTTACAATTCAGCATTCTTTCTGAGTGCTGCCCGGTCTTTCCTGTCCCAGCTCCACTCTCATTGGTTGTTCTGCCTCAAGTTCCGCCTTCTCTCTTCCTGATTGGCCTTCCTGAATCACCTAGTTTCTTCAATTTATACTAGGCTATGAAACTAGTCCTAATGAAAAAAAAAAACTTAATTCTATCTACACTAAAAAAGGCGAAAGCTGCTGATTGCTGATTCTTAGAAAATGTGAGGGTTTCTCTTTTAACAATAATTCATTGCAATTACTGTTTTCATTTTATGAAAATACCCTTTGAGGCAGTTCAGCTATAAATAGCATCTGTTATTTCTTTTATAGAGTATAACAACACGAGATGGTGTTATATTTTCTTTTAATAATTGTTAAAAGTGATTT